ATAAAAAAAAATATTAATTTTTTTTTAAAAAAAACGAAGTTTCAAAAAAATGAAACTTTCGAAACTTACGTGAAAGGGTTTCACCGATACCTAAAAAAAAGAAATAAAAAAAAATATTAATTTTTTTTTAAAAAACGAAAGTTTCAAAAGTTTTAAGAATGAAACTTTTTGAAACTTATGTGAAGGGCGCCGATACCTAAAAAAAATAAATAAAAAAAATATTAATTTTTTTTAAAAAAATAAAGTTTCGAAAGTTTAAAGAATGAAACTTTCGAAACTTACCGTGAAGAGTCTCACTGATACCTAAAAAAATAAATAAAAAAAATATTAAAAAAATCTTTTAAAAAAACAGTTTCAAAAGAAAAACTTTCAAAACTTACCAATCCAAAGCGAAGAGTCTCGCTGATACCTAAAAAAAATATTAGAAAAGATAAATTTTTTAAAAAAACTTTTTTTAAAGCTAAAGATTATCATTCGGCACACAAACCATAATTGACTAGTCTGATCAACTTTATCGATTTCTGGTTTATATCCGATTGGTAATGATTACTGTAATAATACGAACTGACAAATATACTCCAACAGGACCCCGATATATAGTAACAAAAAGTAATGCATTTCGCATTATTTTAATATTTTTTAATAGGAAAAAAGTGCGAAATGCACTACTTTAACAAAAAATGGTGAATTTCGCACCATTTTATTAAGAAAAAAAAGTGTGGAACGCACCATTTTAATAAATAATTGGTGAGTTTCGCACCATTTAATTAATATTTTAATATAAAAAAGTGCAAACGCACCATTTTATTAATATTTTAATAGAAAAAGTGCGAAACGCACCATTTTAACAAAAAAATGGAGAGTTTCGCACCATTTTATTAATATTTTAATATAAAAAAGTGCGAAACGCACTATTTTAACAAATAAATGGTGAGTTTCGCATGATTTTATTAATATCTTACTAATAGAAAAAATGTGAAACGAATTATATTAGTAACAAAAATTTTTTTGAACTAAGATTTGGATTTGCGTAGTGTTACTATGAAAAAAAAGTTGTGTAGAGTTAATATCATAGTAAATGCATGCCGATCATTTGTGAGTTATATTAGTATTATTCGGGGTTCTACTCCAACCGGCAATTGTGTTAAATTAATTAGAGTTAATCAAAATGATAAAATTGCTGATATTTCAATGAAAAATAAAAGCAAAAATCTGCAAAATCGCAGATTACCGCAGAATTTTTCTAATAAATCTGCAGAAATCTGCAAAATTGCAGAATTTTGCTGATTTATAGATAAAAATATTCAATTATCTGCGAAGTTGCAAAATTTGCAGAACTTCGCAGAAATGCGTCAAAAAAGTGCAAAAAAATGCGGAGATCTGCTAATTTCGCAGATCTCCGCAGTTCTGCACCCCAAAAACTTTCCTGATGTAAGACGCCGAAAAAAGAAAAAAAAATGAAACCCATCTCCTACTAGCACCATCACCTCCTAAAAAAAACACCACTTTTACCAACCGTGGATCTTAAATTAAAAAAGGGTTAATGGAAAGGCAACAAAAACGTACATCGATCCTACCGATCCTATAATTAAGTAAAAATTAGTAATTCAGACTAATTAGGATTATGCATAACCACTTTTTTTTTTATTTAAATATTATCAGTATGTATTGCGATAGCACGTCTGAAATGTGTGCCAGGTTGACGGCGCAGTGTAGCGCAGTAATTTCAAAAAGATTTAAGTTAAAGATTTTCTTTTTAATGTAAAGCTTTCAAATTTACACATTAGATGTATTTTCATCTGTTTTACAAAATTCACTTATAAATGGAAGGAGGTTTTGGAAGTAGATTTTGACTTTAGTATATAACAACCGATTTTATCGTCTTTGCAGATCATTTCCAAAATTGGATTTGTCGAAAGAACAGTTTTTGTTAAATAACTCGAAAATGGCCTTCAAAACCACCAGTATATGCTATAAGTAAATTTGCAGAGCGGACAAAAATACACCTAATGCAGGAATTTAAAGGTTTTATTTTAAATAAAAAAAATTGCAATTTAATTTTTTTGGAAAAATCGCTGCGCCACACTGCGCCATCAACCTGGCACACATTTCAGACATGCATTGCGATATAAATATCACATCATGTCACGTGATCATCATCAGAAATTCATCATCATTTAATTGTAAATTTTCATCGGACTCAAAATATTCCTTAGCATTTTCAAGAGCTCTCTCTAAAATCCTACAATAACTTTTGAAGAAAATTTTCTTTAAATACATTTAGAAGTGTATTCCTAACAGATAAAAGGTTTGGGTTAGACTTGAGCGTGCAATTTCACCCTTTACAACTGACCAAATACCTTCAATCAATAGGTTGGAGTTCACAATTATGGTAAGGAGGGTAAAATTAACTTCATGTTCATATTGTCCTGCAATATTAACACAAGAGAATGGAACCTTTTTTTTGTTTATTTTAACCAGCTTTAAAAGTTCTGGTTTTCTTAATTCATCAGAAAAAGCAATATCATGAGCATTTAACCATTCAATTGTAATTTATGACGTCCGAGCATTTTGTGTAGTGTAAAGGTATCGTCTCTATGGCTTTTCCAGGTTGAAACCGCTCTCTCAACTGTACTTTCCCCTATGCCCAACACCTCAGCAAGACAGCAACACGCTTAAGTAGTGTAACCTTCTGATGATCCTCCTTTTTAGTGTTAGTCCCAAAAATAATTGTAAATGTTAATTATCAGTCATATTATCACATTATCAGCGATCATTTTGCCAATCATTTCAATTATCTATTCGATATTATCTCATAAAAAAAATATGATTATTGGGCTATTTTTCTTGCAAATTCCACAATGTATAAAACCAAAATAATTTTTATTTAACCATGTTCATGCAAAATTGATTGAGAAATGATGATTTGAAAATTTATATTTATTACATAAATTAAATCAATATAATTGCAAGTATTAATTTGGCCATAACTCGTGGATTACCTAAAATTAGTTCGGATTACTTCAACTATTAGTTTTAAAAAAGTTAAGCTATAACCTATAAAAGTTTCAAGTTTCGGTCTAACTTCTGTGGTTTCGGCCGAAGCTTTAAAGTCACATATCACCGAAATTACTATATGATCGGTAAATGATCGGCAAGTGATATAAGGTAAAAAAATATTAGTAAGAATCAGTCATTGTAATATATGGGAGGCGGTCAGTAGAAAAGGGGGAAAACTGCCCATTACTAATCACATAATGAACAATCATTGTCTTACTAAGTTTTATCATAGTGGTAATTTCCCCCTTTTCTACTGACTGCCTCCTATATATATATTTTTTTCAGCCCATCTTGTTTTGGCCACACAGTATTTTTCTTGGTGTAAATCCTCTCCTTTTCGGGTGAGGTACCAATCTTTTTGCACCGGCCCATACCGATTTGATTTATTCACTTATATTAGAACAATTCCGACAATTCCGTAACAAGGAAAATTAAAAAGAAAATGCAATCAGAAAATCACGTAAGTTATAATTAATAATGCAATAGAAAAATTTTATTATTTTGTGCATTGTTTTGCATCAACTAGGTATGTTTTTTACCGGTTAAAATTTAAAAATTACCGATTTATTTCACTATGAAAACAATTTAATTCAATTTATAAATAAGGTTCAATCTGGATAACAAGGAACAGGCTTCCGATTTGTCCATGTGACGTTTAGAATTAATTTCAATATCATGGAATAATTTCACATTTTTCCGATCTAAAAAAAATTTTTTTTTTTTATATATACCATACTATATCAATATTAAAATGTAGTATGTTGTGATGATATGATAAATTATTTATCTGTGATTGTTAATAAAATTTTGCTGCATAATTATGCATACAAATATCATGAAAAAAACTATAATCATAGTACTCTAACTCGCTCTTCTCTCGCCCTTTCCCTTTATCACCTTCCTTTGCTTCAGTTTAGGTTTCAGAGGGCAATTTATATTTTATAATAATCTATTATAAGAAAATAAAAATGAATCCTTTATATATCTGGAAAAAAAAAAATTTTTTTTCTCCTTTAAACGTTTCGTTTTTTTTTTAAAAAAAAATGATAAAATTTACAGACAATGATCAACTGATTTTTGATCCTACGCCAAATTTAAAATCTAGTCACGCGCCTATTTGTTTTATTTCTTTTAATAATGAAAATAAATGTGGTAATTGTAACGTTGAATATTCTGAGACGCCTTTTTTCAAACAGAAATATTGCAAATATTGTATAAAAAAGTTTATTGATAATCCTAGTAAGTGCCTAGATATACAAATAAGTACAAATATTAAATATGAAAATGAATCGATTAAAAATATAGATTTTGGTACGCCAAGTTTACAAAAATGGTATTTTAAACAAATAATTCCATCAACATATTCTTTAATACGCTACGACACTTTTAATGGTGAGATGATCGAGTGTGAAAAAAACTGTAACTTATGTGGAAAATTGATGATAATTTCGAAATATAATATCATATTTACGTTATGCTCTTCTTGTTATTTAATATCTTCTGGATGGATAGAATCAGCGTTGACTAAAGTACCTATTCCAATTCTTTATTTACCATGGTGGGACGCTTCTGATCAGTGCGTCGTGTGCGATAAAGTGTTGGAATTTAAACCCGAATGTCTAAAATGGTGTTTACATTGTTATATAATTTACACAGGATGCAGATACTGTTTAACAACAAATATTATTTTCGGGATTACAAATGAATCTCAGTGTAGAAAATGTGGAAGAATAACAAACTTAACTATTGATACTTCAAGTATTAATAGCGAAAACTTATATATAGAAGAATTTCTTGTTTCTACAAGATTAAATATTAATAATAACGATCAGATTATTGATTGCATAAATAATATTAATAAGGATTATGAAAATTGTAATCCGTTGGATAAGTATAATGATATCAAGTATGAATTTAAGAATGCTTTATCAAAACCAATAATGGAATGGATACCATATTCTCAAATTACAAATTGTAAAAAAATAGCTGAAGGAGGGTTTGGTATTATTTATAAAGCAATTTGGTTAGATGCTAGTTCACAATATGATGATTTTTTAAGTAATAGAGAAAAAAATAAAACCGTGGCTATAAAAAGGTTTTTAAACTCACAAAACATAAGCAAATATTTTTTAAATGAGGTAAATTAAAGTTTATTTATTCTTATAATTTGATGATACTACACGTTTTTATTGATTTATTTATATGTTTTTTAGCTAAAGTCACTTTATCAATGTTATAACAAATTTGATCATATAATTAATTACCATGGCATTACAAAAGATCCTGAAACGAAAGATTATATGTTAATAATGAAATATGCATCAGGTGGTAATTTACATGATTATTTACAAAAAAATTTTAAGGAGGTCACTTGGAATAAAAAGCTTTACATCTTGTGGCAAATTTCGGCCGGGTAAATATACATTTTTTAAATATGGTAATTATTGTTTTCTTTTATATTTAAAAATATACATTAATTGATTTTATTTTTTAGACTTCATACTATTCATGAGGTAAATTTTATACATCGTGATTTTCATAGTGGAAATATATTGTTAGAAACTGAATCATCTGGAAAGTGGAAAATCGGAGATTTGGGATTATCACAACCCGCAAATAGTACTTCATTAAATAATGAAATATACGGAGTAATACCTTACATCGCACCAGAAATATTCCAAGGTGTTGCATTTTCAAAGAAATCTGATATATATAGTATGAGTATGATTATGTGGGAACTTACGACGGGTTGCAAACCTTTTGATAATATTGAACATAATACGGAACTTATCTATAGAATTATTGATGGAAAAAAACCCAAAATTACAAATGATACTCCTGATTGTTATGCTAATTTAATGAGAAAATGTTGGGATTCTGATCCTTTAAAAAGACCTTCTGCAAAAGAAATTCTTGAAGTTATTTATGCGTGGGCATTTTTACAAGAAGATTATGAAAATTTCAATCAAGCTGAAGTAAAAAGATTAAAATCAATAGAATTAAAGAAGCTTGGCCCTGAATTTACTGAGAACCCTCATTCAAAAGCGGTTTATAAAAGTAGATCATTGAACTCTTTTATTTCATTTGATAATTCATCTCTGATAGGTCCACAAGGTGCGTATTATAAATGTTACTACTGTCTATCTTCTAAAAGTATGAAAGATTTAATAATAAATAGAAACATACTTTTTTTTTAGAATATATCTCGAAAGAATACGAGTATGACATTAATAATATTTAAAATATATTAGTTTAAGAAAGTGATCCAAATATCGTATCAGAACTCTGATATTTCCATAATAATAAAATTAACGATGTATTATACTTTTATTGAAATACAGATGGGCGTTATGGCGGCACTTTATTTTGATGCTGGATGTCGTATTCTACCTAATAAAAATAATTATTTTAGACGCCAAACTTCCTATTGTTATCATTCTGATTAGCGACAAACTACATTGTATTTTCTTTTGATAATTCGTTGTTCTTAGAGCATTAAAGTTTCTAGTTCAGGCATTTTGTACTGGTTTCTAAATTTTAATAGTTTATATTTGTATTTACAAATTTAAACAAAAACAAAAAATGACATTCTATTTTAAGAACGATTGCTTGTTTATTATATTTTATTATTACTTCATATTAAAACGATTCACTTTTGAAAGTGATTTATAGATAGTACAAATATTGTTTTTATATTTTGCAGATAATTTTACCAATAAGGGAAAAAAATGCAACTAATATGTGCAACTTAACACAAATAATAATTATGAACAAGTGAAAATTCTGCTGCGTAAACCATATACATTACGCTATCGAAATTATAACTAACTGTGACTCAGATGTGGCGCCGATAATATCGTATTTTGTTGTGTTACAGCCGTTACGCGACTCACGATTTATTATTTTACTATTGATATCACTATTGATTAATCATTGACACGTTTGTAAATAATTATGTATAACGCCAACGCCAACTTTCATAAGCTTAACCAATCAGAATTTGAGGATAATACAATATATATAACCTATCTATGCGAAAATTAAAATTCTCAAGCCTTTTTTATTTATTTGCTGGCAATATAAAAAAATGGCCTATCAACGTACTATTCTTCCGCTCTATTACAACCCAGGCCTTTCACCATGCAGCAGCACTGTATGGTTTCTTACTGGGTTTCTTTTCGGTACTTTGGTTGTGTTGGCCTTTGGAAGGCCATCACTTTTTTTATGATTTCTTTGATTTTCTTTTTACTCTTTTTTATTTAGTTCTAGATTTTTATAAATCGGAAACTGGACAACGAATAGTTATTTATATCAAGGAATTATACAATAACTATTCGGACTTCTGCTCTATAAGGAACTTGAAAGAACTAATGGAAAGGGGAAATCACATGGTACCTTCCCTTTTCAATTGGATTTTTCAAGAATATCCTGAGTCAGCTGGACGTTTTTTCAGAAGGTTTAATCTGATTGCACTTAATGTGATGTATAATAAAATATCGGATTACCTTTTGGATTGTGTATGTACTAATTTAAATATTTATATTTAAAATTAACTTATTTAACTAATCTACTAAGTTTATCATATTTGCTTTTATAGGCAGCTGATTTCTTACTTCCTAACTGGATATTCCTCAAAGACTGGATGAAGGGTATGACTAAAAAAGTTTTGATTTATGTATATACTAAATTTATTATTCCTCGCATTTTTTCTTCTAGGTTACCAAGTATTTTTAGAAAGCATAGATTAACTCCTGAGGACATGGTTTAAATGGATCTTTTTCTTTAATAGAGCAGAATTGTCCAGTTTCTGATTATTCTTTTTTTTTATTTTATTTTGCCTATTATTCGTTTGATACCTGGCTTATGATTGGGGCAGCATCCAGGAAATATTTAATTTTGTAATGTTAAGGAATGTATTATTTATTATTGTATTTTGAAGGATTAGGGGTTGGACACTTCAAATTTTGATTTTTGGAAGTGACAGAGTATGGCGAGATAGGGGCCATATTCAATAGTTTTGAATTAATAAACAGAGGTAATTTTGCAATGTATGAATTTTAAAATTTTTTTTCAGTTTCATAAGTGTATCCGATTCTTAATTAGCCAGTAGTACTTATTCGTTTTTTTAATATAAAAAAACAGAATAAATTATTAAATAAGGAATTAATTTATCTAGAATCAGAAACTTCTGCGTGGAAGTTTTCAAGTTTCTAATTATAAAAATTATGGATTTGTAAGAGGAATATCTTGATGACTAAATATGGGACTTCGTTATGAAAAGATATTTTTGGCAACAAAGACTTTATCAGTCTCTCGTTGAATAACGCGTATGGAGTATATTGACTATCACACATGCTACCATATCACACCGTTGTGATCATAAACAAACAAGCAAGCAATTTAAAAGATTTTCATGTAAAAAAAACTAAGCTTTTTTGGTAAAATATTTTGTTATTATTGAATTAATATAATTAATATGCAATTGCTTTAGTGGAACAAGAGTACTTACTACAAGTTTAATGGGCAATAAACTCAGTCTTAAATAACCCCTAGTTACCCCTACTGCTTTAACGTCATAACCTCTTTTTTGGCTGTTGGTTCAACAACAAAAATCAATAAAACAGTTTCCACAAAAAATAATAAATAAATAAATATCACTACTGAAAAAAAGCTAATATTTACACTCTATGGGCATTGTTATTACCTCTCTATGGTGATAGATTAATCCTTCCATAATATGTCCTAGCCCTGTAAACAACGTCTATCCATTTTTTATATTCCACCTTTTTTCGTAAAAGGCTCATATTTCTGGTGCTTATATCACGGAATTTATCAAATTGTTTCATTTTCCGTGAATGGATCCGTGAAAGGCTCATATCATTTTACAGAGTTTTTACAGAAATAGCAGATAAAATTGTTTATAAAGGAGTGCATATACCAAACAAAACCTTCCAATATTTCAATCTAGGGTCTAAATGACAGACAAATGAATATATACATTACTGACGTGTTAGTGCACAGATTTTGATAAAAATAAGCCTTCAGATTTTGGAGAATAAAATTAAATAAAGCTACAAATTGTTAAACAAAATGATGACAGAGCCATACTTTAATTTTAAGTTTTAATATATCTCTTAAGTGGTACTAGTAAAATTGTTTTCTATTTCACTACAGTGACTACACATTTTGAATATAAACCAATAATTAGCCATTAAATTAAAGTGTCATATGATAAATGAAAATCGCAGCCAATAAACTGACCATATGCTTATTGACCTGATCAAAGGCTGAGATAATGGGTTAGACGCAATCTACATAGTGGGACAATGAGTTAGACATGATCTACATGGTTACTGTGACTTACCTAGTAAATTTATTAATTGTGGGGCGCAGTATTATATTTAAGAATTAGTGTATAAATTTTTGTTAAGTAAAATTATATAATGTTACAGATTTTAGCGTCTGGAATGACGTTAAACTATAGAATAAGTAATATTGGGGGTTTGGCGTCCGAAATAACGTTAAACTAGGGATTAGGGAATAATACAGAAAAGTACAAAGAGGTAAAATTACAGAAGGGTTAAAAAGATAAATGTTACAAAAAGATGAATATTACAGGAGGAATATTACAGAAAGAGGAGACTTATTATAAGATTATCAACATATAAAAAGGGGTGATATTTGATGCTGAGTGAGAAACGACATGAATTTTTGGGATTTTATTTTTTTTGATATATTTAGTTATACTAAACCAAGCGTAATTATTTATATTACTAATAAAGTACTATTTTGTTAAAACTAAGGTGGCAACGTGATTTATCACGGGCTTAGGTCTTACACTGTACATTTCATTTCACCGAAGGGACGTTTCGCCGAAAATGTATTTTATCGAATCCATTTCACCGAATCGTACATTTCACCGAATTCCATTTTCACCGAATAGACATTTCACTGAAAATGGTAGTGATTAACATTTTTATAAAAAAAATTCATCGCGCAATGAAAATAAAATTAAATTATTTTTAGAGATTTTTTTTCCAGGATATTATCACTTCAATATTCAAGTAACTAATATTAATTGTTAAGCAATAAATAGGTAACTTTATTTTCCTGGAAAAATTTATTCACGAAAAAGTAAGTAAAGAAAAGATTAATGTATTATAAACGACGAGGTAAATTTTATGATCTGGTATAAAAACAATAAAATAACCAAATGGAATAAATAATTTTTCTATGAAATGTCCATTTGGCGAAATGTCCATTCGATAAAATGGCTTCGGAGAAATGGAGTTTTGGCGAAACATCCTTTTGGCGAAATATCCCTTCAGTGAAATTGCTTCGGTGAAATAGATTTCGGTGAAAAGGCCGGATACCGATCTACATAGTTATGGACATTTTTTTTTTTTAGGAATATGAGAAGAAAATAAATTTTATTTCGGATATGCAGTATACAATATAGTCGATTACTGAAAAAACTAATTGGTTGGCAATAACTCGGACAAAATTAAATAATTTCCACTAGCATGAATTTATTACAAAAATAAGTGAAAGCGGCATGAGGTATCGGTTTCAATAATAAGTGGTTGTACATTATTTTAATAATTATAGCTATTATTTACTTTTTATATTTACACTTTTTATATACCTACCAGAGATCGATAATGAATTAATGTAGTTTTCTCATTTCTATGAAAATAAAAAATACAAGATAAAAAATTACACAAATATGGCTAGCCGCCATGAAAGCCAAAGGTATATAATTTAATTAGGTATAAAATCGATTAGAAAATTACTGTATCTGAATCCCACTATTAGTCAATCGATGTATCAATTTCAATTCCTAGTTAAATAGCATCGTGAATTTTGAAAATTAATCGATCACCGTTTTTCATAATGATAATAATATTTTTTTAGAGTAGGAGAATTATCACGTTATGCTCACATCTTTTTATGTTAAATTTACTTATTTTTACCAAATTAATTTTTTGTATATTGTAAATAAATTATTTCTGAGCATAGATTGGTTTTAGTTGTTTGCAAAAAAATTTGTCTGTTAATATATTTATCAATAGTTCAAAATTTTATGACAACAAAATATAAAAATTATTACGATTATTATGATTATTTGATATGATGATTTTTTTGTGGTTTTTATATTATTAAACATCAAGAGGAAGGAAATATCACGCAATAAACTTTCAATTGAGTGTATCATTTAGTTTGAAATATGTAATTTCGCAGGATTATCTAAATGTAATTAAAATACTGATGTTTTCCACCTCATTTTGAAAATGAAGTAATAAAGTGATTTTTAAAACATAATGTTATACAATTGAAACAGATATCATTAAAGTTTTTTATCGTATTGTGAATGGGTATGAAGTAATATAAGTAATATATACTAATTTATTTTACTTTTTCTTATCTTTGATTAGAGTCATTAAGTGGGATGGCTTATTTTAGATGCAAAAAATATATTTATAAATTGAACACCTAATTTAATGAATGATGCGAAAATTCAAAAATTATGTTTCGTTAATATTTAATAAAAAGCTTATTTACTGATCTTTTAAGACTGTCACGTTATAGCTGATATCATACTACTATACTTTTTAAGCTTACCATATTTTATATAATTCAAAAATTTAGTATTTTTGTGATAAATTGGTATGAATTTTATTTCTAGATATATAATATCCCATAAAAATAAATAAAAATGAAGAATAAAAAAAAAGAATAAATGATGACCTATAGGCTTTAAGATAATTTAAATATAATATTCAAATATCAAAATCGATTTCTATCCTATTATTAAATAATAAACATATTAAATTGTAAATTATACAATAGTATTTACTTTATTTGTTACAAATAATCAAAAGAATTTTACCATTATTTTTATTTTCAATTAGCTTAATCTTTTTAATAATTTTATCTGAAAATATTTCATTTAATTTAGTAAATATTAAATTCATTTGTATTTATATATGAGTTTTGACTTTTATCATTCATACCTTCATCAAATCTACTTTCAATTTGATTATCTTCAAATTTTCTTTTATCTTTAAAAGAATAAAATTTATTAATATTACCTAAAATTATATTAAAATGATTATATTTAGTTAGATAAACATTTGCCACTAAAGATTACATTGCCTCTTTAATGACACGAAATAAATCTAAATAATAATGAAATACAGTATTATTACACTTTTATCAAGTAAAATATTTAATGTTGTATTTACCAACTTCTGCAGTTATAGATTGGCTTCTTAAACTTCTTGTGAACATTGCAGAAAGAATCATATCACTTAAAGGTCTACTCTTATAAACAGCACCTGGATTATTTTCTGCTATAGGCCCAATATCCGGTGATACTATAATTTTAGTTGTATTTGGGTTTTCACTAAACCATATTCCTTTAATTTTTCGATATATATCTTCAGCTGTTGGTCTTTTCTTTGGATCAGAATTCCAGCATTCTTTCATTAATTCAATATATCCTTCAGGTGCATTTGTAACAATTGGTGGTCTTAAACCATCCCATATTTCAATTATCAGTTCTACATCATGTATTCTATCCCAAAAAGGTCTTCTACCTGTCATAAATTCCCACATAATCATACCAAAACTATATATATCTGAGGCTGTAGTATATGTTTGTCTTTGAAAAATCTCTGGTGCCATATAAGGAATAATACCATAATTCTCTGTAGAATCTGTAGATTCGGTTGCAGATTTACTTATTCCCAGATCACCTATACATGTAACTTCATTTTTAAAAAAGATATTTCCACTGTGAAAATCTCTGTGTATAATATGTGCACTATGGATATTTTTAAGTCCATATATTATATATCTTAAGTTATTCAACTTTGTATCCCAAATAATATTATAAAAATCATTACTTAAATAATGTATCAAATCACCTGAATTATAGTATGCCATAATAATCATTAAATCTTTAGTAACAGGATCTTGAGTAATTCCAAAATATACACTAACAAATCCAATATATTTAGAATTTAAAGAAAATTCATGAAATATTTTGAGCTAAATAGAAAGTTTATTAATTACTTATCACATAATTAGGATAATTAATAACAAGCAATTACCTCATTAAGTTCTTTAGATGTAATAACTTTAGAATTATTAAGCTTTTTAAGAACAACCGGATGATTTTTTTTATTCATAAAACTTTGCTTTTTTTTACTCCATCCATGAATTGGACCATCAATCCAAGTAGCCTTATAAATTTTGCTAAAACCTCCTTCAGCAATAAATTTTACATCTTTGAATTGATCATAAGGGACAAAGACCATTTTCCCAACTAATCTACTACCAGTGACTAGTGTATGCTTGATAAAATCGTCAATAACCTTGTTCCCACTTGGTGTATATACTGATTTCGCTTTATAGCAAACATGGCAAACCTGATTATTTTCATCTAAACGTTCCGTTTTTTGATTACATTCATTGCATAATATCTTTATTTTGCGATTGCGATTAGATGTGTTGTTTGATAATAAAAAGTCATTTTTGTGTTTATGATTTAATAATTGATCCATTTTCAAATAATCGCTAATTTTTTTTAAAAAATACCCTTCCAGTTTGAAGCGTTCAAGAAAACTTTCTAATGTGTATATATAAACATTTTGTAATAACTTGTGTAACTTCTAATATAAAATTCTTTTTCTATAAATTTCATTCCTTGTAGAAATTTCTTATTATTATAAGAATTATGGAAATGTTAAGCAGAAAGTCCAAATAACAAATCTAAAAGTGTATTTGGAAAAGAATTTTCGAATGAACTTTTTACAAGAATTCCGGAATTCTATAGATTCGGTATCACGTTTCATCAATTAGCCTCATTAGTGATCATGTGACATATATTTTACGTAATTATTTATTAAAATAGTAATTTGGCGTTCATACAAATGACAATTCAAGTTCTTATATAAAAAAGGTATAAATTTCGTAAATAAATTATCATCATTTTTCAACATGTGAAAATATTAAAAAAAAAACCATTACCTCAATGAAAAAATTAAATTATTTAACATTATGCTACAAATTGTAAAATTGCTAAAATTGTTTTAAAATTAAACTTGGAAAATTTGAATGATAGTAAATATTATTATATTATTGCAAATGTTTAGTATCCTTACGAATTTTTTTTTTTTAAAAAGAGTTTTCGTTCTTGGCTAATAAAATCAAATTAAAATTTTTTCAGTTACCGTAATTATACAACCAAATATATATGACACTTTAATAATCAGATTCTAAATAACGAATAATATGGTAAGTAGCGTAAGCTTTTACACAAAAGATATAACAAATTTATATACTCAATTGAATATAGTACATTATTTTATCAGTTTAACATCCATTATTTTATTATTAAAAGGTTTATATTTTCCCTCTCACTCTTCTATTCTTGCATATTCATTTAATTAGTTCAAATTTTTTAATAATACCCAACTTTTGGTATTTTTCAATTACTTCCATTATTTCGGTTTTAACCATGATTCCTCCAATAGTAAAAGTAATTGATCTAAATGGTACACGATCTTTCCAAATAATAAAAAAAGATTCTAATTCTTTTGATTTAAACATTTTAACATCTTCTATATGCAATTCATGAAAATTTTTTGGTGAAAATTTAGAAATAATTTTCAACGCATCACTTACTTTCGTGCGCGTATATAACTTAACTTTAAGTTTTCTAATTGTTTACAATTATTTAAAATTTCTTTTAATGTCTCTACTTTACCAATTTTAGTATATAGATATTTTAATTTTAAACAAAATTATGCTATATCTAAATTTAATGATGTATCAGTTTCAATATATTTACAAAAACAGCATTCAAGACATTCTAAATTCTTTCCATTATTTTCTAAAAATATATTTAATGAGTTAAATGATTCTCCATATATTCTTAAAACTCTTAATTTTGGAAGAATAGCATATTCTAATTCATAATAATTTCTACTTAATAAAAAGAGTTCTTGTAAATTTATCAATTCAGTAATAAATAATAATGGCTTTCCATCATAAATTCCATCACTTAAATAAAATTTTGTTAAGGTATTATAATGCTTCTTTAATGAAGGAATAAGTCCTTTCCAGCAATATGTATCATTACAATTTATTTTTAATTTTTTTAAACAATTTTGTGAATATATTAATTTCATTAATTCATATTCACTTCTTATATGATCTCCTCGATAAAAAATATGTAATGATTGTATATTATGACATACAGTTGATAATAGATGAAAAAATTTTGATTCTATACCACTTGCACAACTTAATTTTGTAAGATTTTTTAAACAATCTCTTGCTCTAGGAAAATTAATAAAACGTATATTATATGGAATTTTTGTATCAACTTTCAATATATAATCTAATCTCTTTAAATTATTAATCTTATTCATATACATTTTTAATATTTCTTTTATTACCAACTTTATCGACTTTTTCATGCCTTTTGATTCTTCTGATGTTTTTGATTGTTGTTGATTTTTAAAATAAGATATTATAATTACACTAATATCACCAATTGAAAGTGATTTACAAAATGATACATAATCAAATAATGGAGGTTTTGAAGTTGGAGTTGGAATGATAATTCCTTTACTATATAAAAGGCATTTTGATGTATTAGGAAGACAAGCAATTAGAGTATTTAAAATTTGTAATGATGCATCTGATTGAAGTTTGAATTTCCAAATATTTCTCCATAAAACTTTGACAGTAACTTCACAAAAAAAATAATTAACAAATAAACATGGATATAAAGTATCTTTATCATTCTCTAAAAATTCTAAAACTTCTTCAATATAAATTTGATAAGTCATTTTGTTTTTTTATAGAGTAAGAATTTTAAGGATAAGAATATAGAATAGAATGTATAGAATAAGTGTTTTAAAAAAGTATGATATAAGAGTATAGAATAAGAGTTTAAATAAGGTGAGAGTAAGACATTTATTTACCACATTTATTAGTAATATTAAAACATTCTGACATCAATATTAGATAGTATGAGTGATTTGTAATAGAATAGGTAATATGTCATGCTAAGTCGAAATTATTAGTTCATGCCGAGTCATAAATGATCTGTGTTTATCAACATGAGTAAAATTTCATAAAAATATATTCCATAGTGACTCTAAGAAAGTCCACTTTTTTATATACATGCAAAAAAAAGACTTGCAATACAATCGACTGACAGTGCAACAAGGTCTGATTAAACCTTCCCATCTTTCAATAAATTTGATACTTTGCAACAATAACCAACATGAATTAATTTAATAGCTGCTAGTGAATTTGGATTTGGCAAACTACTATAATACAATCAACTCAATTGTTATTGCAAATTTTGGTTCAGTATTAAGAAGGAAAAGAGTCCAAAGATGAGTTTCTCTGGGTTTGTGATATATTTGTTTTCAACACAAATTTCAACTGCGGATCACTGAAATCGAAAAACATAAGGATTTAAGGTAAGTATTTCCATTGTATGGTTTCTATTTGCTTTATGGGCGTGCTCATTTTTAAGTGTTATGACATAGGGGTTTATGTATTCACAGTACATACATATGTTTATATATTTGAAAAAATAAGTAAAAAAAGTACGTTATTTTTTTTAAAAAAATTCTTCATACATTTAAGTTCATATATAACAAAACTATGTTGGCACATTGGCCATTTGGCCGGGGTTGGCCGTTGGCCATTTGGCAGTTTGGTGACCAAAATGGCCAAAAAAGTTTTGGCCGCGGCCAAATGCCAACAAGGTACTAATACCTATCTAGTTATTTCTTTGGCCGTTTAGCATTTGGCCAGGGTTGGCCGTTGGCCATTTGGCCATTTGAACAGGGCGGACATCCCCATATTATCACGATATTGCCGATCATTTTGCCGATCACTTGTCCAATATTATCACATTAAAAAATACCGTTGAATTAGTTTTTTCACAAATTCTACATAATAATGTATAAAATTTTGATTTTATTTACTTTATTTTATTTATTGTTAATAAATTAGTTCTTAAAATAATTCATAAAGATTTTGTCAAATATCAGACATATATTAATTTTACAATAATTGTAAACATTTATTTAATGATAACTTTTGGGTTATCAAAAATTATCCAGGTTTATTTTA